CCCCCCCACCCTTCTCGTCTGTTTACCTCCGTGGAAACGATGATGTGAGACCGACACCGCCAGCGAGCGAGTCCGGCTACAGGGAGCGAAGACCCGGGGAGCGATGGAAGGAAGCTCTCGCGGCTGTGGAGGACACCGTGGTGGACCTCCCGCCTGCTGCAGCCTCGGTTCTCACCCGTGCTACTCTAACGGGCGGCGTTAGCCTCTTAGCATGCTAGGCTAGGCTAAGCTAAGCTAAGCTCCGGGCGGCTGTGTTTGACCTGATATGGAAACCCGTCCACGGGCTCCACCGCCGGGACTGTTCGTTACTTCACTCCGGCTCACCGACGCCCACACGGGGCCACCAGGAGCGGGCGTGTAGATTATTATCGCCGCCGACTCGTCCGCTGTGTGAAACCTGATTTATTTAAAAATTTTTAAAGCTAACGCTGCTTGCTAGCAAAAACTGTCCGGCCTGGGATGGAGCCGGGCGACTTGCGGGAGAGCCCCGCCGGGTCCGGGGAGTCCGACGCCGGGGACTGGAGAGAGGGTATCCCCGGCGGGGACGGCGAGGAGGAGGAGGTCAAGGCTTCCGAAAGCAACGGAACCACACTGGAGGCGGCCCTGAGGGACTCCTGCGGGGAAAGTGAGAAGCAGAAAGGGTGCGGAGAGCCACTGCACAGCCCGTACGAGGAGGAGCTGGACCCCAGGATCCAGGTACGAGGAGCCGCCACGTTTCAATGACACGCCGGTGTCAAACCACACGATGCTGGTGCAGCCGTGTCAGAAGTTAATAATATAACAATATTCATTTCATACAAGAAATACAGCTTTACTTAAAATAAAGATGTTAATGGGAGTTTACACGTTGAAATGTAATTCATATAAAACAACAGATTACATGAACACACGTTGAAAGAAATTAAGAAATTCAATTGGAAAATAAAAGTTATAATAAGTTTTCCTTTAATGGGCAGCAGCTTAAAATATTATACTGCAGATTAAAAAGAAAGAGCGTTCATAGAAACATGAAGGACTGAGATTAATCATGGAAAATGTAAGGTTGTTCATTTAAAATATATTTCAAACATATTTTGAAACTGGTCAACAGAGTAAGAGTTTAATGCATTTATACATTATTTATCTTTTTTTTTCCCAACAGGACGAGTTGGAACATCTCAACGAAGCCAGTGCAGAAATCAACAGACTGGAGCTGCAGCTGGATGTGAGTACAAACTGTTTTTATATGAATAATTTCATCAGCAGCAGTTTTGATAGAAAGTTAGGGGACAAACATGTTCTGGTTCCAGCTGCTGACGTCGTAGGATTTCACAGTTTTGACTTTGCAAACTGAATATCCCAGAGGATTGTTGTGGGAAATTGTGGCCTCCTCTTTCTGACATTTTATTAATTAAGGAAAAAAGGGATTGTGAATATAAATATAATGTTAAATAAATATC